GTACATGTACGAGAACGGGGGCTCTGACCTCTACGGCGGTAGCGGAGCATCAGACAACGGCGAACGATGGTCGGACCCAGGGACTCTTCTTTTTTTTTTTTTTTTTTTTTCTCTGCTTGCCTCTAGGCGCCTGACCTCGTATTCACTGGTTGTCTGGTTACCTCTCCGCACCATCGTCGCCGATGCTACAATACCTACCGCTCGTATATTGGTCGTTCCGCCGAAACTTGCGATATCCAAATGTATACGCAATGGTGAAAAAGAAATAGGTAGTCTGGTGGATTAGGAATAATTTATTATTATTTTATAGCCATAAGTGCCGTTTTTGCAGATAAGCCATCGTATTACAAAGCAATGGGTATCGCTCTGAAGTTCAATAACAATATGGTGATGATATCATTCTAAAGCATAGAAAAAAAATTTTGCTGGGAAAAAAAAAATTTCGGTGGAATGACCCATGTAAACGTACATCTCACGATCTTTTGCTTTGGCCTCAGCTTCCTTTGCCCTCTTCATCTCCCTCATTGGCTTCTCTAAATGCATCATACACATATAATAAAATACACGAACGAGGAAGCAGAAGAAGAAGAATATACGATGAATCTTTCGGGGTTTGCGTCGCTTTGTTACCGGGCACGTATCGGCATATATTTTTGGGACGCTGTATATAAATATTCCCTCCCTCGTGCTAAATTTAAGCCGATGCTCGGTGTTTGGTCAACTTTACCGATTTTGGCAAATTTTGCAGATTCAGGAAGAAACGTCGAACTTTATCAGGTACGATGATCGCTTTGGCGTATAATTAAGCAAAACAAATTGTACAACCGATTTCTCAGCCGATCTTAAATTCAATGTCAGAGATGCGTGAAAATACATACTCACGATGGCTACGAGTCATTGAGCGTTTAAATAGTTGACCGTGAAATATCGAGTGATTATAGATCGAATGGCGTTACGCTAATTTTACGTTTTATGTTATACAGGGCTGAAAATAAACAATTAAATGCGACAATCATAGAGTCTTGAGGGTTTCAAGCAACCGCGTTTTGGTTCTCAGCAAAAATACCGATCTCATCTCTCGATCTTCTAGCACCACACAAAACCAATCATCAGACCCCATTCACTTACCCCCTTGTCCCCACTGGCTCGCTTGTAAAAGTATGGGTATACAAACGCGGGCCACCCCCTTTGCGCTATCTTTGTCCCTCGCGGGTATATAAATAAGTACACGCACGAGCCATCAGCGCGACGGATAAATTTAGCGTTCCCATTCCGATGGCCGATCGGATGCGCGCGAACCGATCGCCCCTGCATACACAAATGTAAATGTCATCAAGCAATAAACCTAAACGGATCAGTCGAACAAAGTCGCATGGACGATGATAGCGAGAAGGCGAGCTTTTGGTCGGCACATCGTGTGAGTATGTTACACTATTTAACTCCCACACATGGGGACATAATATAGCCTATCCGGGGCGACGAAGCGAAGAGTCGCTGCAGGGAGTCACAGCGGCAGAGGGTACAATATCTACATATACGTCTTTCTCTCTCTTTTTCTCGTTCCTCACATCTTTTCGCATTTCGTCTCGTTTGCCGGCTATATATATATATATATATATATATACCTATACTCCCGCAGGTCATATATTTATTGTACAGCGTCTCTTGTGTATAGTCTAATCTCCGGGACGCTCTCTCGTGTCGCCTTTAATATCTCCTCGGCCACGCCAGAGAGAGAAAGTGTCTTCGAGGCTCTATTAATATATATGAGAGAGAGAGAGAGAGAGAGAGCGCAGTTCTCAAAGGCCTCCTCTCTCTCTCTCGCTCGCGTGCGAGGAGACGAAAAAGTAGTTCAGGAAACAGTGGTGCGCACACATGTATACGCTTTATCGTTCGCTTCGTTTTTTCGGTAAAAACGCTGGGGAAGGTTTTTTTTCTTCTTTCTCCGTTTGTTTTCATTCATAATATTTTCTTACCTTCCGCCCGTGATGGTCTCCCTCATCGTTGACTTTTTCATTAGGCGCGAGTTGGACGCACACTTTTCGGACCAACCATGTACTTACATATATTATGTAGATACTCATCCATCTTAGCTTCGAGGGAAGCTTTTTTTCCACAAATTTCACGTGGATCCTTCACTTGGGCAAAGTGTTTTACGTAAAAGCGTGGCTTTCTGCTCGGTATACGATACACACAACGTGTCCCACACAGATGTATGTTACACGCGAGTTCTCGATTTTCAATTTCGTTTTTTTTTTTTTTTTTTTTTTTTTTCGTTTGGCGCGTAATTTTCTGCGGGAAACCATCCAAGGACTCGTTCAAGGAGCGCGCAAAGTAAGAGGAAGTTGAAAAAGCGTACGAAAAGTATATAGGTATAAACGACCAGCCGGCCCTGATTGAAAGGCAACACTGCCTTCGCACTGTGGCACAGCGCTTGTGTATTATATTCACGAGAGAAAGAGAGTATACATATAGTAGTGGTCCCCCCGAAACTAGACAGATTTTAAGATACGATGCTGCCGATGTGTTCAGACTTGTATGGCCGATAGCTGCGTCACTCGCGAAGCTCGAAAAAGAGATACGACTTCTCTTTCCCTCGATCACACAGAAAGCCAAAAGAACGAATGTATCGAAGCTCGAAGGGTTTTTTTTTTTTCAAGTTGTCTCACAGGTGTCAAGTAATAGTACACACTTTGATCATCCGATTGACAAGCATCGTTTTTTTTTTTTTTTTTTTTTTTTCTTTCACCGTCTGTCGCATGCTGATTCGGCCTGTGACCCAAATATAATTTGAACGAGCTAATATGAAGTGTATAATATGACAGCAAAACTTTAGTATTTTCGAGCACGATATCTGCAGGTGATATGATTCTAAATCATTTTAGACGACGGCTCTGTTTTGCGCGCAGTTTCCTTCACGAGGTGACAAACCATTTGTATTGTTTAGCAAAAACGCGTTCGCCATATCGATATACCGATTATATCTGGTAACGTGTTGTAACGAAGCGTCAAATTTTCGTGTTGGATATGTCGTTTTACAAATCGTATACATTCACGATGTATATACGAGAAACAAGATGAAAACAAATGATAAAAAGTCGGGGCAATCGGTTTTTATTGCTACATCAATGTGTCGTGACGTTTATTGGATCTCGGCTATTACAACATTAATCGAAAGAGCTATACGATCCCAGATAAAATGTAACGTTATATATCGACAATTACTTTTTTCAATCGAAGAGGATAACGCAACGATACACGGCATAATCGATGTGTGCACGCAGTCTCATTTTTTTCTTCTTTTGATACATACAACTTGGTGTTGTAAACTCAAATATGTATACATACATACATATAAAAAAGTAAGAATAATAATAATAATAATAATCCATATATGTATATGGATATGTAATGGTACGTGACGATCTACCGCGATTGTTGCAAGCGGTGAAAGAGTTTCTTTATCATATCGCACGTATATTATATACGTATAGCGGTCGATAAGCTCCATTGTATCAAAAGTACATGCCACACATGGGTTATATCGATTTTCGCCGATCCGCCGAGCAAAAGGAAAAAGTATCGGTAAGTTGTTTCCAAAAAAACCATTACCAAGTGCACATCTCTCTCTATACATTTATTTTTTCCAAACAATGATCTGATGTACTTAAAAACAATTAATCATCATTACCATTGCGATCACTGAGGAGGTAGGTGCGATGTATTATATCTCCAAATATCGCCCTCGGCGAAAATCTCTCGTTCTGCTCGTGCGGGCCGCTTCGTTCTTGTGTACATGCGAGTCGAGCTTTCTTGGGAAGTCGAGCTGCTTCTGCGAAGGAGACCCGGGCTCCTCGTTCGCCATATATATATATATACCTGTACAACACTTTTTTTTTGTCTCCCCCCCCCCGTTCACGTGGCAATATAACGAGGGAAGAGAAAAGAAGAGCGCGGAAGGGAAACGCCGGCCGATTTCGCTCGCTTTCGTTTTCTGGGGTGTCTCGAGGAAGAAAAAAAGAACCATCTGCGCACCTTCTGGCAGCGATATCACTCGTATCTATTGTACATCCATGGGTACATCGTTTTTTTTTTTTTTTTTTTTCACAAAAAAAAGCACAAACAAACACGCGGCTTTTTTTTTTTTTGTTTTTTTTTTTTTTTTTTTCAATAGCCAATAAAATCGTGGTAAAGCATACTTGTAGGTGCATCAACGCATCAGGTCGAATATTATTCATGCGCGCGATGTCACCTGTACAACAATGGTTGTGTACAATGTATTATGCCTATACTCTTCCGCAAATTGTTATTGTTATCAGTACCGAGTTCCCTCTCATCGGTATCCGTGCCAATCGATAGTGACATGCAGAAATAATATCTATCTCATGGATACCAACCGATTTGTCTAACGATCGCGGGACGCAAAGTACATGACTTGCATCCATATAATCGATTAAACGTCACGTATCATCACTGTCGCGTAAAGTCATCATATCAACGGACGCAAGCTCGTATACCTACTTGTTAGTAATCCCAACACGCATCGGATAGTCGTACGAGGGAGAATTGCGCGCTCTCCTCACGCGTGTATATATATATATATATATATATATATATATGTAAGCAAGGCGGCGAACCGTTGGCGCTATTAAAACGGAATACGGCATGATATCCTCGTATAATCGTCCTTTTCCTATACCAACAAACAAAAAAGGGACGTCACATGAGGCGCTTCGTACTTACGTCTTGCGCGTTAAGTTTGACACGTGTGTCCGAAAAGTCGCGGGTCAGCGTACACCTGCAGCTTTTAAAATTAGAAGCGCGCTATAAACAAATCATACTCGCATATGTGTGTATACCTCACTTATCTTACGGGTATATTTATTAGTTTAAAAAAAGAAAGAAAAAAAAGTGTAACAGAACAACATCCATCCATCCACACTCACACACCAACACATAAACATAACATTATATATTGATGGTCATGACGATGCACTTACCCACGTGTGCGAGGTCGATGATCGGGATCTCGCACTTGCTGAGCAGAGTCTCGCAGCCGTTGGCTAGGGCCACCGGTTTGCTCGTGCAACAGCTCAACATCCTGACGCCTTTGATGATCCTTTTCTCTCTCTCTCTCTCTCTCTTTCTATATGTATATTATGAGTGTGTGTGTATAGGGATGGTATATTCAGGTATACGCGCAGTGTACTTGTATAATATAATAATCGGCTCTTGGACACTCTCTCACACGCACAGCACTCTTCTTCTTCTTCTTATATTCTTACTTTTTCTCGTGTTCCCTTTGCAACTTTTCCTCTGGTTCAGCAGCAGCGCAAAATCAAAGATAGCTCACCGATTTTTTTGTACTCTACGACAATCGCGACATTTGTTTTCACGTTGTCAGCTGATTTCTTCCCTTTAATATTTTTGTCTCGAGTGTTTCGGAGCAAAAACAGTCAAAACCGATTGCAGGACAGAAAACCAAAGATTTTGCAGGAAAATTAAGGACAAGAACAACGAAACACACAACGTTTAAAAGTAGAATATGTCGCGCGCGCGTTTATAGCAAAAAAACTCGGTGTAATGTATAAATAATGAACATACATTCACCTATGAATCCAAAGTGAGAATTCAAAGAAAAGTTAAATAATAAAGTGCGTGGCTAGCGGTAGCCGTGGATGTCGAGCTTGTGGGCCGGTTTCCCGTTGAGCTGGCACTTTTTGCAATGTTTCCTCGAGAGCACGACCTCCCGATGATGGCCCTCCTGCTCCTTCTGCTGCGTGCGACGACGGCTACTGCTGCTTGATACGATTGTTGAGCTGCACATGCTACGGTTATCTCGACTCGGTGCCGAATGACCAACGACTGAGCCTCGAGCAGCTTGGCTGTGCCGCGGGAGCTGCTTGCTCTCTCTCTCTCTCTCTTTCTGACGCTCCGATCGGATCGTCGTCGTCGCGGGCGTCCCCGGGGTCCCCCTCTCGCTCCGACTCTGTGTGAGTGTGTGTGTGTCTGTGTGTTGACTGTTGAGTCAGTCAGCAAGAAAGAAGAAGAATCAAGAATGAACGGTATATAGAGAGAGACGAATATGTTTGTGTCGTATATACTTACAGTATATATTATTAGCGTGCAAGTGTGGGGGTATATAAGTTTGGAGAGAGAGAGAGAGAGAGATAAGTGAGAATTCGAAGAGGAGGAGGAGGATGTAACAGAGGCGAGGCAGGAAACGGAGACGAGAGAATGAAAGAAAAGTAAGCAGATAAAAAGCCACCCGTACTTTTTAGAATTTACTTGCATCTGCGTATAACGCATACATTCATCGTTCGGGTAACGGGTACTTAACGGCTCTCTCCGTCAGCTGTTTGTACACCCACGTGTGTACATATACGTGTCTATAATATCATGTTTGTATTCGGTTTACTGTTTGCCTAAATCGGTAAGTAAGTCCAAAGTGTGTGGAAATGTGGATGTGACCCTCTTCCGGGCGAGCTTGCACGCGCCTTTTTTGAAAATTCGAACGGCAAAAGTTGCAAGCTGCACCGCAGTCAAGTGGTTCGTGGCGGTATATTTGAATGTTTCCCGATCGCAGCGCTACTTGCGGCGAATCGTCGAACTCCGGAACAAAATCGGTCGTTTATCGACCTGTAAGTAGCGGGGTATTTGGTGCACATTTTTATCGGTTCTTGATTTTTTTTAAACTATCGATGTAGAATCGTTGACAAATCACAATCGACAGTTCATTGGTCTTTAACATTTATTATATAATATACTTATGTTTCAAATTGTTATTAAGATCTCGGATCTAATTATAGTTGTTAAAAATAGTAAGTATTCATATAAAAATACAACCTCTACACAGCTATTACTTCGCCATACAGCGAGGTTTGAAAGAAACCACAACGTTTTTGTTCAAATTTTAACGTTATTGCGTAAAAAAACGCGTCCACAGGGTACCTTCTCGAGCTGCTCTTTAACTTTCCTGCAATTCAACGAGCAAAGTTTAAGTTAGTCGAGGCCGTCAAATTTTCCAGAGCACTAGCAGCGGTAAACGAAAAACGTTTTGTTCTTTTTTTCCCCCTGCCAGTTCGTTACTTAATAGAGAGCCGCCCGCAAGTCTTTTTACATGCATTTAGGTATACATATACGCACCGTGTGTCTGACTCCGCGGCAATTGCTATTTTGCAATCGTCAATTAAGTCTGGCTTCTACTGTTGATGCACGTCTCAAAGACGAAGACCCATTATTTAGTGATCACATATGCTCTGCCGCTGAAACGTATACATATACTATACACGACGTGCTTTCGTTCATAGAACAGCACAATTATTGTCATATATTCTGTAGAAAATAAACGATAAGCGCGTATAATTTAATAATGAACGTGTTGGATAACGTACGCAACTCAAGTCAAGTCAAAATTAAAAAAAAAAAAATATACAAATTAAAATCTCTTATTCGCTCGGTAATTACACTATCTACCTTATCGCTGCGTTAACCCGCGATACCTACAGTTGGCAGATCGATTATTTAAAATTTCAAAATAAAAATTAATGCCAACGGCACCTGCAGTGCACGTAAAATAAATACTTAATACAATATAAAAAAAAAGGTCCAGCTCACGTTTCAAGGGACTCCCTTGTGTTTCTGGGGCAGCTTGTGTTGGAGGTGGGCGCTGGGCGCTATCCTCGCTGACTCGGCGGCTGGTTCACAGCTGGGGCTCGAGGTCAGTGGCCCCGAGCTGTCGGAGGTCCAGGGGCTGCTCGTCACCGACTGCCCCAAAATCGCGCTCTTGCAGCCCTTGACGCGTGTAGGCCGCCGGCAAAACTTTCGCGGCTTCACCAGCGTCTTCAACTTTTTCCCGTACCTCTGGTAACTCCCCGATTTCCTCGGACTCGGCGAGCAATCGTCCGAGCTACTGCTGTTGTGTTTTTTTTTTTTTTTTTTTTTTTATTGTGTTTCGTAGAAAAGATGATGCCAAAAACGGATTCAGGAGGAGAACCGGTTAATTACCTGCAGCTCGTGTTGGCGCCGTTCATCAGAAAATCCGACTCGCAACAGGAGCACTCGGACGGACAGATGCCCGGTATCACTTTGCGTATTATCTTGACAAACGAACCCGCAATCAATAAACCGAACAATCAACAAGTGGTTATAGGGGGAAGAAACGGACAAACTTTGATCAGCAGAAGGACAATGACGATTTGGGTGGCGATGATCAAACCGGTCATCGAGTAGCCAATAATGACGACCCTGAGGAGCAGACGACCGATGACGAGGGCGCACCCGCGGCAATTGATCGTCCGGGTGCTATCCCTTCGCATGTCCGTGTGAGCGCAAGGCAGCATGGTCCGTCTCCTGCAGCAGCTGAACGGCACGCTCCGCTCACCGTACTCCAACGCCTCCGGCTCGTCGTAGTCCGAACTCTTTTTCCGACCCCGCACAATGTAAACATAACCAGTAGTCCCAAGTGTACATATACTTATGTATCTCTATGTCGTATACAACCTGCCAGTCGAAGGCGAACCAGTCGGTGTAGGCCAGCGAGCCGCAGCACTCGAGGTCGAGCTGGAGCTCGTCGAGGGCCAACTTGTAGGAGGCCCTGGTCGTGTAGAGCCTCATAGCGGCCCGAAAGGCGTCCCTCAGCGACTCGGTCCTAACGTTGACTCGACCAGCGATCAGCCAGACTGTCACTACGTTCAGTACCACGCAGACCATCAACAGCAAGGCGACGCGCCGGAGTCCCTGCTTCGGGTAACACGGGCGCGCCTGGTGTCTGGATATATATATATTCATCTCGGTACACACGTGAGTATATAATACAGTATTTGGGGGGAGGGAGGGGAGGGGGGAAGCAACAGGGTATATATATACCTGCGAATGGCGTAGAGGGTGGCGATGGCGATGGGGAAGCCGAGCCCGGAGTCGGCGAAGCTCAGGACGATGGGCACGAGGGCACCGGCAAACCTGATGGGCCGCGAGTCCATGAGCATCTCGAGGGTCAGCAGTAGGAGGCGCTTAACCTCGAGGACGCTGAGACTCACGGCCGCGCAACAGCCGAACCTCGTCTCCCAGCCGCGGTGGTTGTGAGCGCTAGTGCGGATCGCGCTGTCGCTGATACAGAAGGTCGCGGGTTTCTCCTGGCGCGGGGTTTTGCAGCGACCACCGCGACAGGCGCTCGAGATCCCGGCCATTCATCGTCTTTCCCGAGCTTTTAATTCATACGTTTAACTTTTGTGATTTTTAGGTCGTGCGTGTTTTAATTGTCGCGGGTGTTGTTGCTTCGAGCGAAATATTGATCCCGCGCTACTACCAACACCGCGAGGTGTACTATATAGCCGTGCAATTAGTATATTATATAATCATTGTACGTCCGTCCTTGATTGCTATCGTTTGGGATGCGCGAATTAATTTTAACCTCGTGCAGTATCCGGGGAAAAAAAAAATCATGATGTGTATAACATAATGTATACGTGCCCTCGGGAGGATCGAGTTGTTTTTCACCGACAGTTACGCAATTCAATGGTACATTTTGCAAATACAGGCGGTTTACACTCCCCGTTTCAAGAAACACACACCACGTAAGTATAATGTTTATTCTCTCGCATCATGCAAATTGAGAGATGATCATAACAAAGATTCTCTTCCGAGCAAACAACTCAATGACTACCTTATATGTATTATGCTCGTTGTACCTACAGTGGCGATGATACTATGGGTAAGTATGATATTATATCCTCTTTGTCAGAGACACGCTTATTTTTATGTAAAATACAATGGATGAGTACTGGCGACCGTTGATTTCAGCTCTTTTTACGTGTTTACATGGTACTATTGCAAAACAATTTAACCTGCAAACTAACCGTTGTTCATAACACTGCCCGACGCCTAATGATCCATGATCAGAGGAGAGCTGGATTTTGACACTTTTGCTTTTACGCGGCGGAAAAATAAAGTACTTGAGTGATTATTGCACAATCGACACTCGCATGCCGTTCACTTTACCAGCAAAACTTATGGTAAGTCCATACAATACAAATAACACGTACGCACGCGTGTGTATGGACGCTCTTTTTTTTGGGGGGATTATGCAATTTTGCGATTTGCTAGCCCAACCGACGGAAACTGCCGACGATGGATGAATAATTTTTTTTTTCGTTTTTTTTTTTTTTTTCGGTAACAATAGGTTTTTATTGATTCAACAATTCAAGTGGTAGTGATCACCGAAGTGTAAAAAATATCACTAAACAGTATCAAAAACAATGTACATCACAATAAACTACATAACGATTCACAGGTTCGCTTGAAAAAAAAAAAAAAAAAAAAAAAAAAAAAAAAAATACATATATGTATAAACGCACACCATCGAAATATTTTTCTCCCAACGATTTACGTGATTTTTGTGATTATCCTTTGGATTCGTAGTGATGATGATGATGATAGGTACATGTGTATTAATAGGAGTGCAGTCGTCGCACCATTTACCTAATTTACTTATACATGTATACTCAACTAAATATACCTAAACACAACACGTATACTTATATAATAAGGATAAAAGGTAGACGCGTGGAGAGTCAGTCGTAGTGGAACTTGTAAATGTTAACTCGCGAGTTTTGCCGTCCAAAGAGCCAATAGGCCAAAAAGGGAAAATTCTCCGTGAGGTAGATGGCGAATCTCATCTGCGCGTTGAAGAAGCCCCGGAAGAACCTCGACCACCAGTACGACGGGGGCATCAGGTACTCGTGCACCATGAGCTGCAGATTCAGCATGAATTTACTGTACAACGGCATACCCTCCGTATCTACGAGTAATTGTTCTTTTATGACATCACATGCATATAAATAGATGTGTATATTTTTCAAAAAATTCATGCCAATTGCTCACCAATGACGACGGAGTGATTGTTGTTGGTGGCCGCGGATACGGCCAGCTGGAGGGTAAAGGTGGTGTAAGCCTTGGGATCCAAGTGGGGGTTGACGGGCCAGAGGCCTTCCAGGAGCACACGGCCCATCTCGTCAAAGTTTTTGTTTTTCACCGCGAAGCTGGGCAGGAAAATTTCGTCCAACAGTCTTCTGCACAGCTGCCGGCACTCCTCGACCGTACCGTTGCACAGATTGTACCTGCGAGCGGAAACGTGTTTTTTTTTTTGGCTTACAATCAACAAGTTTTTTTCCTTGCCTGGTACAGCAAAAAAAGCCATCAAGTTCAATAGTCGCGCCAAAAACCACTGTTTTCTCGGTGTAATGAGTACCCAGAGAGAAAGCGCCTGTGCACAGTCATAACAATCGCGAGGTAGGAAAACAATAAAAAAAAAAAATGAGCGCTGCTCCCGTCGAACCATCATCCGCATCCGTTTGTGTATAATAGAAATGGGAGGTGGCAACTTGCTTTTTCGGTGTATTTTAGAAGTGAAAGCGGTGGAATAGAGCGAAGGCATAAGTACGCGTGCAATGGATAAATACAACAACAACCAGATGAAAATCGGGCCTCGAGAGAAAAGCTAATTTATCGCAATAATGATGTCGTACACCTTTGGCATCAGTTTAGATTTGCTTTGGAGTGTAAAAATAGATATTAAACGATAATTTTCCCTCTCCATACCGATAACAATCAAAAATAAAGCGATTAAATGGTTTTAGGTGAATTTCTCAATGTTTTTGCTCTTGTAATAATTACAATTGAATACTTTTATACGATTACGCTATTAAATTTTAAAACAATTACTATAATTTTTTTTTTTTCAGTAAATAAATAATTATATTTAAATTAATGTAATGTAAGAAGACAAAAAAGTGTTGTTCTAATAATGGATGATGAGGAAAAAAAATTTTTTAATTTCAAGGGCAGTTGCATGCACTGAATCCAGATAAATTTTACAACCTTAACTAAATGTGTGTTTTTAATTTTTAAAAACATTACAATTTATTTGCAGCTTTGGAGTCATTGAATAATAAAAAAAAAAAAAAAGAAAGAAATTCTCCAACTGGATCAACTTTGAAAAACCTGCATTATACCAACGACGCGTGACTTTGGTGGCGCGTGTTCAACCCAACACCAACGCGCCCGACGTAATTTACGTTACCTATCGTCCATGCCCAGCATGCGGCCGATCACCCGCCAAAAGTGCACGAGACCGTCGAGCTCCTCGTCGGTGGTAAAAATGCCGAGCCGATCGCCACTGAGCAGCGTGAAACCAATGAAGCCAAATTGCGTGAGCGCCATGTCCAGCTGCGTTATACGACCGAGGCCCGCCACGGAGCAACGCTGCGATACGATGCAGTGCTTCTTGCGGACGTTCTTCAGGGATTTCAGGAATCTATACGGGACGGTATAGTTTGTCAATTTCATTTGACCATACCCAAAAATACTCTTTTGCATGTGGAATAACAAGTGCCACTGTGACCCCCCGTGAAAGATCGAGAACGTATACAATGTATTTTGTGCCACTTCCCTCCCAACTTGACCCATCGAAAGCACCGATCGATCGCACACGTGTATATACTACATTTTACGTTTGTTGCACCTGTGCCAAACTTTTCAAATGCTCGATGAAATGCTCGTTGGCAGTTAGCGCGCCTCTCCACTCTCGCGTTGCAACTATAAATCATCGTGCCAACAAGCGGTGGATTATTTATTTTACCGACATCTCGCCCGTTTCCACATATTATGTATACATAGGTACATTATCCATGCAGGGGTAATTTGCGCGTTTTCTATAGTCGATTAACGAGTATAGCGCAACAACCAAAGGAAGTGTAATTAGCCGTGACGTTAAAGAGACTAACTCGATCTGTTTGCCGGGCTCCTTCTCGTACCAGACGAAGGTGTGCAGTATCGTGGAGACGTATCTGCGAAAGGCCGTGCAGGGCGTGCCACTCTGCTTCGTGAAGATGAGAATGTCCAGGATGGAGGGCACGGCGAGGAGGGCCAGGAGGCCCGACAGTTTGGCTATCATCATCGCGAACACGTTGTTGTAAAAGGCCTGCTGGCCCAGCCGGAACTTACGGGGCTCGTAGTACTCGGGGAGCTCGAGCTCGTCCGCCTCCTTGTCCGCAGGGGTGGTCGCCCCTTCGCTGATGAGCACGCGGAGACGCTCGTCAACCACTGAAACAGTTTTTTTTTTTTTTTTTTTTTTTCATACGTCATTTTCATTTTCACAGTGGGGATAAACAATAAGCTCCGGATCAATGGATTAAATCCCAATTGGACGTACCTATATCGTGCGCATATTCATCAGAGACACGTTAAAATTCTCGTTGGGACTCGCGGTGAAAAGTTTCGATCGCCGTCGCGCCTTTGTACAGAACCATACGCGCGTACACCGCGCCATTACTCTTGCGTGTCGGAGGCTCGAAAAACCCCGTACACGCGATTACACCGTGTCGATCGTGACTCTTCTTTTTTTTTTTTTTTTTTTTTTTTTCCTTCGCCAAATCGGATACGGGGGAATCGGACATTATACGGATGGATGAACGGAGGCGCATTCGCGCTGTATGGGTGTGTATACTGTTTTGTATGCGCCGGCGCCGAAACCGGTAACATCTGTGCAGCGCGTTCGCGACTCGAATCGACAATCGGTGTACGTATGGTTCCGCGTCGCGTCACTTTTCTCTCTGCCGTGTAACTCACAAGGATAATCGCGTGTAATTTCCTTCCCCCGCGAGACACGTGCGCCGAGCCCATCTCTCTCCTTCTTTCTCAGTCTCGCAACTAATTTATCGCTGCATTCGTAGTGCGCGCACGGATGGATTTTTTTTTTTTTTTCGGGGGTATGATCGTTGTATGGTAATACAAAGTTGTCTGGGTTATTTTTTCTTTTTTCCTTTAATTTTAATTTCGTTTCACACGGATATATTACAGTATACATATGCACAGGCATGCGGAGAACGTTCGAGTATGTATTTGCATGCAGATATGTATATGTGCGTTTCGCAACTACATAATGGCTAGTCTCACGGCCTCTCCCGAGTGGCAAGACTATACGTTCTTTCGTTATTTGAATATTATGGTTAATGCACTTCATGCAAACATTGGCGAATAAATTTTTTTTTTTTTCTTTTTTATATCAAAAGGCCCAAGTTTGTGGATAATGCAAAAAAAATTAAATGCTGCCTTTTTATTCGAGATACACATCGTGTAGGTATCCAGTCTTTGTTCAAGAATATAATTGCCAACACAGGACGGTCGGCGTTCCTACCACGTTATTTTGCCATAGTAAAATGAATAGTTTCGTTGGCTTGAGTGAGTAAACCATCAGGTTGAGTTTCGCGAGGAGCGTCCATTGTTTTTTTCCTTGAAAATCGACGCGCAAAATATATGAAAATCGAGCCAGCATAATACACTACTTTCTATTTCAGCCATCGCGAGACAAACGCACCCACAGCCTTGTACACATCTCCCACTCGATTGTGTATACCTGTGTTTTTTTTTTTTTTTTTTTTTTTTCCCCACCTCAAAAAACGGCGCGTGCAACGGTTTTCAGAGCCCGAGATCAGCGAAAGTGAAGCCACCGAGGCGTAGAGGAGAAGTCGGCGAAATCGGCAACGGCGCGTACACACATACATTTACACGAATAGCACAGGAATGCAAATAACGGAGATTAGGGGGGAAAAAAGGGTAGCGATTCGCAGTAATGGTCTCGAAATCTCACCGCGGTCGGCCGAGCGAGAATTAGTTGGATGGACTCTTGCGATCGTCACAGCTCGGAAAGATGAAAAAAAAAAAATTGCAACTGTATAAATATACCGATCAATAAATTATATAACGAGTACAACTTAAATCCTTGACCAGATCCAACTGTATACCATTGAATGCACCCACACACATACGATAATTATGGATCGGAAAGTGCATTAGCCTGTGTAGCGCGCGCAAAAAAAAAAAAAAAAAAAAGTAAACCAAGGCCGTGTAAGGTATGAGGTATACGAAGAACGGCAGTAGTATGTGTGTACATGGAAATAGACGGGCTGTATGCGCTTCGTTAGAGCGAGTAACGAGCATTAGCGAGCTGACGAAGGAGCTACGACGACTTGTGTCTATACACCCAATGAGCTCAACATTGCCGTTTGTTAATCCTCCGGGCGAGCCCGACTGTTTGACCATTGGGTACATATATATATATAACATAAGTATTATGGTGTACTCGCGGCTTTTGCGGTGCAAGTTGGGGAAGGTGCGTAAGTACGGGAGTTGCTAATGGTTTGCAGTTGAAACTACCTACATAGTCTCTGTGTCAATATTACGCGAAGAAAAGAGTAGATAAGGTACACTCTCGCGCGATGGCAACGATTGTTCCTGCGTGTAATTGCGGACCTTGGAGCCGAGCGCTCCGAGATATTATGGTTCGTGATTCTAGGTAGAGGAGCTTTTGTTCTCTCTTTTTTTTTTTTTTTTTTTTTTTATTCTTCTCATCATTATTACTTGAGCGAGTAAATTAAAATTGATGATTATTATTTTTTTTAACTATAACACGTACGTTGTTCGTGTTTGATGGACAATAGGAAAAAAGGCCGGTGCAGAGTGTGAATAAACAAGCATCTCATACCGCGCATAGAAGAGAGAGAGAGAGAGGTGGGCGTCTTGCGAGCTCGAAAGTACACTAGTACAACTTCATCTTGGCCAAAGAGTCGTCGGTTTTCTTGACTTTCAGAATCAACTAATCGAGAGGCTCATTCGTTGCAACGCGAATGAAAAGAAACAGGATTACCAAGAGCTCGATCGTCCCACTTAACTGCAAAGATTCTTATCAGAAGGTCGTCCGCAAACGGGTGTATCGTTAAAAATCGGCAAGTGTATAAGTTGGTAACGCGCGTGTACATATATTATGTCCCCAGAGACGGAACCGATACGCATACATTGCCGATCTCTCGAAAAACCACTACTTACATGGTAAAAAAAAAAAAAAAATACCAATTGTAATGAGAAATCTCGAACTTTTGTGGGATAATGATGATTCAACTCCTTTGAGTTCACGAGATACAGGATTTCTCTTGATACCAACTCGGTGATGCACGAGTATTCGGAATAGGGCTAAATTTACGATTTCATATTTACAATCAAATTTAGATTCATATGTATGCGCTCCAAAAATTACATATATTTAACTTAAGAGTTTTTGCAAGAAGCATCGAGGTACTGCATTCGACCGATGGAAATGAAAAGCCCCCATCTTGAAATAGCCAGATAGTTCGACATTTTTCGACCCGACACCGCGAGCTCGAAAACTTGGAGGTCGCTCGTTGCACGTATATATTTTTTTTTTTCATCTCCGTTTTACTTGTATAACTCGAGTAACGGCCCGTTTTGCACGCACTAATAGTCAGCTGCAGCCTTTCGAAAAGTTACGAAACCCCGTTTCAGCATGAGGACAGCAGCTGCGCGAGGCTGGTTGCGGTCAGATCGGCAAAATTCACGAGAGTGGAGGACTCGAAGGATTTTTTTTAAATCAACCGGTGTATATAACGCGTAGGGGCTCGTTTGTCTCGATCCTCCGCATAATGCCTATATACGTTACATACACGTATACACATATATTGTGATGCTGTTCATCGGTAATATTACAACGTTGCTACTATACACGGAGTATAGGCGTGTATGGGTAGAAATGGCGCGGTTTCGCAAGATCCAAGTGAAGCGCGTTCCTTGGCATTTTTGCGTCTGTGCGTATAGTTATACTGTTGTAGATATATAGTATTGGGCACAATTTTTTTTTTGTTTTTTTTTTTCTTGAGTTTTAAACTCTTTGAACGACCATTTTTTTATTTCCACAAATAATTTGTTTTTTTTTCGTTAAAAATCGTAATGCTGTATGTTTTTGATAGAAAAAATTGTATTAAGCACCGTAATCTACTTAATTAGTAATTGAATTTTTTTTTTTTTTTTTTTTTTTTTAGCACATATAGTATAGCCCAAGTCTGTTAAATGATATGTGGTACACATGAAGAGATGGTGGAAAAAGCTCTTAGCGATTTTCTAATCTACACACTGTGAAAAAAAAATATCATTCACCCGTCATCTTGGTACTATTAAACAGGGTATGAATTAAAATTGCATCATCGTCTACACCATCATGAACGCCATACATTTTAAAAGTGAAATAAGCAACAGTAGAAAAAAGAAAAAGAAAATCCTCTCACCACTGAGCTCCGAGTCGACATCCTCGATCTTGAGCGTACCGTCGAATTTAAAATTTGACGGTGGCATGTCGTGACAGCCCAACCACGTGGTACACCTATTTGTCTATTATATTAACAGCTCTCACTTCACAACTCGATGAAAACAGCAAAAACTCCTCGTCTATGAAGCGAAATGCCAAATAAAGTGATACATGTCCAGCGCGGAGGTAATCAAAGACGCGAGTCGCGCACCGGATCTGCAACCACGACGAGAGAGGAGCCCAACGGATCCCCACGTTCTCATGACCGGTAAGCCTCTGAGCCACTCGCGCTCCCCGGCGCTCCCTTTAACGTCGAGCACCGCACCTCTGTCCACCTATTATATCCCACAGCTCGACTCCCATCGGCTGCAAGACTGACTCTCCTCTGCGCTGATAGAGGAGATAGCGTCGGAGAAAGATCGCAAAAACCGAGAGGCGGGGAGTCTGTCCAGAGAAAGCTACGCTCGCTCGTCGGGGCTCATACACGTAGGTATATTATTATTATATTTGCAACGCTCCGGTGTACGAAGTGCCGATGTACCTCCTCCTCCTCCTCCTCCTCTAGTCGCGCGCTCCTCTGGCTCTGCCGGTGAAAGAACGGAGGACGTGCTACATTTGCGCACAAGTGGGTTGGTTAACACTTGGACCTCTCACTTTTTGCTTGCCGATTTTGCCAATTTTAGGCTCTTCTAGGCTCCAGGGAGGACGGGTTCACCGGAGGTTCATGCATTTCCGACTCATTGTTGTCCCAGGAGTTTTTCGTTGCCACAAGGCTACATGTATAACATACCGATAGCTCTCGTTTCTCTCGCAGTCGGAAGAAGTCTAGGAAGAACGGAGAGCGCAGTTTACGCTGTCGTTCAATATACCATACTACCACAACTTTTACCCTACGTATATATATATATATATATATATATATAAATACGCTGATTATCACCCAACTGTTGCAGTTGCGAACTTATGCCGAGTGTCCTTGCTCGTAGGCGTTAATTCGCGTTTGAGTACACTCTCTCATGTAGAGGGAATACTTTTTTTTTTATTAAATCGGTAAACAATTGCTGTTACGATTTATAAATATATACTCTCTATTGACCGAAAACAGGAGAGCAGACGATAACACTTGACCAAAAAAGCACGTAAATTATATGTGTATACTCTGGTAAACGAAGGTAAAGTACCCTCGAGCTAACAAAGAGTGTGTGCTTGACTTGTTCCGGCGATGCTTGCAAACAAAAAGGACTCGAAGAAGAGGAAACTTGGGTCAGAGTTATATGCTCCGTACGCACGTTGTAGGTATAGCGCGTAAAGTGTATACACACATGTATACTCTCAATTGTTTGAAAAGTTAAAAAACGCCGAATTGTTCAATCATCCCGTGAAAATAATAAAATTGAGCGTTTGACAACGATGGTTATTGAAGAAAGGGTTACTTTGCACTGTCGAGAAACCGGTACCACTTCCATCCGATTCGCGACTCCATCCCCGGTCACGCGAACTTTTTTGATCGCGCATCACTATTGTTTTTTACTTTTTTTTCTTCGTTGGTTTATACCTTCACAAGACACTCACGTAACGCAAGCGCACACTTTTTCCACATCCTCGTTGAAAAAACGACGATTCGAAAGCGCGCTTTTCACCAAACGGGCAATAACGGTTGTTGCACCGCCGAATCGTTACACGGGATGAAAAAAAATTGAAAACTAGAAAAACAAGACACAACAGCGGAGGAACCGAGTCATCGCACCGCGAAATTCGTTACGGACGGTGAGCTTGCGGCCTGGGCGCTCGATTAGAGACTTGACGCGCGAAAGCGAAAATCCGCGCTTGCCCTCGCGTACACACGTATATGTCGCAGCCGCGAGCGGAAAGCGAAAGTCCGGACGCGCGTCTCTTTGCTTCCGACGCTATATTATGTTTATATATATATACGTACGGGTTACATGGGGGCACGGAACGAAAATTTTTTTTTTGTTGTTGCTCTGCTGCATCGTCCAGGAGTGCCCCCCCCCCCTCCGTCTTTTTCGCGGCTCTCGCGTCATCGTACACTTACATCCAAGTGAAAGTGCACCGGTATTTCGCGATCGGCCGCTTCTGGGTGTTGTGTGTATTGTTATGTGATTTTATTGTCATTGGACTTTGCTCGGCGCGGATGTAATTAAGTGTAGAGAAATTGAAATTGTTTTTTTCTCTTTGATCCTCCAATGTGTGACTGGCGCCGCTGAAAAAGCGCGGTGTGATTTTTGTTTGTCGGGATAATCGAGAGTTTTCGCTCAGGGAAGCGAGTTGGGCAAGCGAAACCGTGACAAATGGCATTTTTTTTTTTTCGAGAGGGAGCCCTCACTGTGTGGACGCCTCTTGTTGTCGTTTGATTTTGCTAACTCAGCCAATTTAATTATATGTAGCCTAGGGTAACTTGGTTTTACCATACGACTTTCTTTTTGTTACGTACTTACCTGTTTGTTGTAACATTTCGTGTATTGTTTGCGAAGATGTTGGACAAATAGCTGATGGTCTGAGAAAATTTTACGTGTACGCGCGTGGGTCCTTACAAATCTTTACCCAACACCCGGAAATTGAAAAAAAAATAATTTGATGGCTGAAGGAATCCGATTTATTTTGCGTCAATACTCAGTTAAGACGATGTTTACTGGAAAAATCGGGCATTGTTGCGGTACTATTCCGTTTACAAAAAAAAAAAAAATTCCACAAATCTTTGCATATACGAATAATAACTAATACGAATTGGTATGCAATTGAGTTCATTGCGTTGACGTCAAATAAAGGGAAGCGTCGTTAATTTTGGTGAAGTTCCAAAATGTCAATGGTATCTAGGTTTTCAAGGAATGGAATAACGACTAGTGCTGTTTTCTTACAATTAGATTTATTCGTAGTAGTTTATTTATGAAAGATAATTCTTTAATGTTTTTGATAGAAAAAATTGTATTAAGCACCGTAATCTACTTAATTAGTAATTGAATTTTTTTTTTTTTTTTTTTTTTTTTAGCACATATAGTATAGCCCAAGTCTGTTAAATGATATGTGGTACACATGAAGAGATGGTGGAAAAAGCTCTTAGCGATTTTCTAATCTACACACTGTGAAAAAAAAATATCATTCACCCGTCATCTTGGTACTATTAAACAGGGTATGAATTAAAATTGCATCATCGTCTACACCATCATGNATATTCGTTTCGATTTATAATAACTAGAAGGTTTACATGTAACAATATTGTAAAAGAAGAGCTGTAGTACAGTGTTTGCTGAAAATGTTTTTCCAACAAATAGTGACTTGATATTTTTTCACTGTAAAAATTCTGCATCGGTTTCTTAAAAATGTTTTTGCAAGTTCGAAAAATAAAATTTTAACAGTTAGAGGCATGCGGTTCAATAACAACAGTATCGAATGAATATTGTTATTTAGCATCAACGTTTTTCGAGAAGAAAGAGCCTCAATTTATCTGTTTTTTTTTTAAACATACCTACAATATGGCAGCAATATAAATTATATAGAGCAATAACCATGTTGATCGATGTGTTGCGAAAAAATGCTCCAACAGACTGATGCATTTTAGATATAAAAACCTTATGTAAAATCCAATGATGTTTTCAAGTACAAATTTACGTTTAAAAATCATCAAGTAATCATTTCAAATTTTCGTTGAATCAAATAAAAATTTCGAAGCGGAGGAAATATTGTTAAAATTATTGCTTGATCATTTAATATTATTGCAAGAAAAATATTTTCCAACTGTAAATGCTTAAAATAAATGAAAAATCGCCAGAACTGACCATAAAAAAAATATACTTAAAATGATGAAAATAAAGCACCCTTTGTTCGCAATTCATATCAGCTATCATCGCGTGCCGATCGAATTATTTCGAGTGCACCCACTTTTTTTACTGTTTTCTTTTGCTATTCGGCTGAAGGCCTACATCTCACAAGTAATGAGTAATTGTTACTATGTACCGTATTTTTTATCATGTAAATGTGTCGTAATACGCTGCTGTTGGCTATTTATATTTTTTCATTAATTTCATACATTATTCAAGTTATTGCAAGGATGTACTCATCTTGAATGTCGAATTGTTTAACCATTAAGAAAAAAAAAACATCGCTTCAACATCACTTAGGGAGTCACTGCCTATGTAAGCTATAATAGCTCTTGGTACTTGTAAGGAATCACTTGGTTAAAGATAAAACTCTGCGCGTGTCACTTCTTTTTAATGTCCGATTATTTGCTCATTTTATTATCATCAAAATCCCGTTTTATTCTTTTGCACATCAACAATTAATGAGATAAAAATGTACAATGTAAGTGTAAAATTAAATTAAAACGGATGAATCACTTACTGGAGTAAAACATTCATGTGTAACAAATTTTTTTTTTTTTTTTAAATTTTAAAGCTACATTTACTATAAATATACAAAAGAGAGTACGAGATCCTTAAACAACTAACCCTTGACGTGGTGGTCATTTTTTAAATGTATACCCAATACTAGCATTGATACAGTTAATGACGCTTTTCGACGCACTTCATCAATATCGAATTTAGTATCAATCATTTATCTTTATCTTTTAGCATATATTAATAATACAGTAGTGCGTATTTAGCATAGGAACGATAAAAGAGCGTCCCCGCAGAGTTGTTCTCACCATATCAAAATCAACGGGAGCTTAAATTTATTAGTAGAATAATATTATTAAAAAATAGATTAATATCAGTCCTTTGTACGAAAACACGAGCTCGCACACTTTCAAAAGCAATTAGAACCAATTTTGTTCTATACGAAATATTTATTCGTATCCTCTTATTTTATGTTGTCTGTCACTTATCTATTTTATTTCACTGTTATTTCCTCCAAGGAAATATTTTGAATCAGTTTCACAGCCTCGCCAGCGAATCCTGTAAGTCAACAAAGCAAATACAGATCTTTCTGCAGAATCGCTGCAAATTCCTCTTGCATTTTTTTTCTCTTGACTGTTTTCTCTTCAAATTGTTTGAAGTTTGCTCAAACTACTTTTTACTTATATGATACACTTATCTATGTACACTGAGTTAACTTCAGTTATAGTGAGCAGGCTATCTAGTATTGTTTTTTTCTTTAACTTACTACTGGCTAAAACTTTGCTTATCACGAAACAACGGCATTTATTTCCGTCGTGTCTTTGCAGTCTTGAATTGATAGCTGTGCAATCTCGTTCACCACGACTTCGTCGGATGATGAGCTCATTGTCATCGTTGTTGCTTCTGATTTTTTTAATATAGTGTAACCTAAAAAATAACACGTATTTTGAAAAACTAGAATATTTTCAATAAATTAGTACAAGAAATATTTGTAATTACTGGTTTTAAAGGAACCTTTGTTTGTTTCTTCCTGCTCATTAGTAGTGGCATTCGTCTTTATCTGTCCATTGGACTTTTGTTTTTTTCCAGATCCAACATCGTCTCCCGCAGAATTATTGCCTTGGTGTATTTTAAACACACTTTTTATAATGCTATTAACAGTGGACTGTGCTCGTTTTGGACTATCTGCTGGTTTTTGCTTAACATGAGCACTCCAGCCTGTACCTGGGTTTGCTTCTACTGCAGCCTGAGGCCCTTTTACATGATCTTCCGAATCTTTATCGTGAAGCCTATCGTTAGTATTTGAGTTCGTTTGGTGTTCGTGATGTTGTCTCATTTCTTTCACACGGTTCTAACAGCAAAAAAAAAATATATATTCACTCGTGATAAATGATTTAAATATAATATTAAAAAATCACCTTATTGTCGAAGTAGGAATTTCTCCTCATGATTCCTTTATTGAAAACTGCCCTCCGTTTTTGATGATGATTACGCTTGACTTCTTGGACGTCCTGTACATGAGATTCGGAAAACGATGACGTTGGGTTATCTGAAGGCAGAGTCTTTGCGTCTTTGGAGTAATCCGTCAAATCTTTCAACTCCTTTAGTGCGGCAGCATAATTTAAGGCTTCTGTTTTTTTAGGAGCGACTTCGGTCACGATCTCTGAGAAGTTTTTTACTCTAGAGTCCTCTTCGTCGAGATCCGTTACTTGTACATTACAAGCTTCATTTTTTCCATCCACATTTTTTTCTAAACTCTTTAAGTTCTTATCTGGAGAAGACTGAGAAACTACTTGTTTATTTTGCAAGAGTGGACCTCGTTGAAGCACCTACGGAATAGTCATGTAATTACAAATAACTCGTATAACTTGTTGATATTTATCTAGCGAGGATGTTATACCTTAACTGGAGACTTCATGGTATTGTCCGCAATATTTTCCTTAGACTGCACTAAGCCAGCCATGCCACCGGTAATAACCTGAGGTGGTGGCCCTTGCTTCATGTGCGTGGGCGAGTTATTTTGCCTCTTGCCGAGGTTGTTTTTTGGCATACCACCGACGATACCGTTGCGACCAACGTGTGAAAACTTATGATAATTTCTCTTGTCATTACCAACAGCAGCGTGACTTGCTATGACACTCAACGTAGACGGCTGATACTGCGGAGCTGGCTGCTGCATCAGCTGCGGTGGTGGTACAAGCATTTGTTGTTCTTGCTGCTGCTGCTGATGCTGTTGCTGCATCCTATGGGCAGATTCCGCATGCATTTGACTCTCGATTTGACGCTGTTCTATTCCAGCAGTCATGTGCTGATGCTGCATCATTATGTAATCGTTGTAGTGATTTATTGGTGGATTCATCTATGAATAAAAAGTAACAAAATTTGAATATAACTTCACAAAATAATTCGAACTGCGCAGTGTAATTGATGGAATTGAGCATGCAGTAAATGTTGTGGGAAAAATCTTGGTTATTGATCAAAGGGGTAAAGGTAGAAAGCTGGCAAAAAAAAGGGATGACCTCAGGCGTATTGCTTTTTTCGTTATAAGGCACTATCTGATTTCACATTATACTTAAATATGTATGAATTTGGCTGAAGGATAAAGCCAAGTGTTCGAATGTAGGTCAGTAGCAAGCTATTAAAGTTTTAAAAACAGCTGACGAGTTACATTTTTTTTTTCGTGACTGAAAATTTTTATTTATTCCAAACACGTGTGATAAAATATAAAAACTACCGTTGATGTTTTCGGGAATCGATTATTTTAGATACGATAAATATGACTTGATATGTAAATGAAAATGGTATTTTAAAATGCCATGAAGAAATTCTCAGAGTATTTACCTGGTTACCATAAGTAGGGCCCATGTTGGAGTCTAGCCTAGCATATCGCTGAAGGAGATACGATGTTAGATCCGCATGTGATGTCAGATATGCAGGGCAGTTTTGTTGAGGCGGTTGTTGCATAGGTGGTGGTGGCTGCTCAGGCATAGGTTTTGGCAGTGTTCTGCACTGTTCGCGATAATGAAAACGATCAGAATCGATGCGGCGACCAAAACTGTTACTGTACGATCGCACCAATGATTGGTAGGCTTGGTCGTTTTGATTTACCGGCATTTGATTTTGCTGCTGGTAATTACATCTTTCGAATCTTTGACGTTTATCCGACATTGGGTTATAATGTTCGTTATGTGTATACTGAGGTGGCTGCTGCATCATGTAGGAATTCTGCATCATTTGCTGATTTTGCTGAATGTGCTGAATTTGCTGGATTTGTTGTTGTTGCTGCTGCTGTACATGCTGCGATATTTGCTGAAGAGGCTCGGGACGTGACATCTGAGGCTGTGGATGTGGTGGTTGTTGTTGTTGCTGCTGCTGCTGTTGCTGTGATATCTGTGGGAGTGGTTCCAAAGATGACATTTGTTGCTGTGGATGAGGTCGTGATGGCTGCTGTTGCTGCTGTTGATCTGTACACTGTGGATACTGAGGCACATCTATCCAAGTTTCTGGCTGGTTTACAGTGGCCTCCTTTTCTGTCTGATTTTGCACAGTGATCCACACTTCTTTCAGTTCACCAGTGATGTCTCTATCTTTTAAGATTTCATATTTACGCTTAAACTTTATACCGTTGTTCATAGTCTCCACGAAATCTAATAACACGACCACTAAATTTTCTAACTCCTGTAAAATATTTACAAAAAGCATTGATAAATAATCACAATCGTTAATTATAAAACATACTTCTTATTTAGAGAAACTTTAAAAGTAAAACTAACGTTTGGATTCTTGCAGTTTTTGCCCCTCATTTTGAGGACCTCGGTGTTTGCAATGACTGCAAATACCAGAGTACTTTTGTCCTCTGTTCGTGGAGGAGTCAACTGCATTCCACCAAACAGCGGCACAGGCATATTAGGACTGGCGGGCATGTCAACCTTATCCCAAGACAATACGTTGACATAGCAAGGTAAGTCAGAACTCTGGTAAATTTGAAAAAAAAAACACCTTTGATTTAATACTTTTCAAAAAGAAATATCCATAAACAAAGGAAGCGTATACTTACGAGTACTTGGTCCTTTATGCACATATGAGGCTGTGGTGGATTTTTGAACGTCCTCGCGCCGTTGCGCTTTGTCTTAGGTGGAGCACCCTCGCTCATCTTGGAACGATCTGTAATTTATTTGAATGACGTTTATCCAAAGACAATGACAACTCGAACAAATCTTTCAACGAGACATCAACAGTGCACTTTACTAATGTTGCGTGTCTAAGCACAAGCTGCGTTCTCGTGGATTCGATTAGACTCTTCCTATGCGAGCGATTATTGTAAGACTCAAGTGAAGGTTGTTTTTTCACGCTCTGGCAACGCCATGTAGGTACAATATTCGCACAACATTAACATGCACAAATAACTAGACGAAATAAAGAGCGGAACAGTTGACGGTACTCTCAACGAGGGCAATCTGTTTGTTTTCCTCGAGCACGACTACCATCAGAGCTTTTTCCATGACTTACGTACGCGCACTGCACGACCAGCTGCTATACGAACATAACCTTTAAATAACTGTCTGTTTGATCCCTTGCTTGTTGGACACCTCGTCCACGAGGCTCAACGGTGTGGATAACTCTCCAATATTTACTTCTTTATAAAATCATGCACAGGCAGTCCGAAAAAGTATAACGACTCATCTCGCAGAGAAAAAAAAAATAACAAACTAAAATCGCGAGTTGTGGATACACTGCGACAGTGGCCAGCAGTGGCGTGTGGGAGAGAGTATAATGCAAGGGTCGCAGGGGACGGCACACGGCAGGGTAACAAAACAACATAGGTATATTAGAACACGTAGGAATCCCACATAGGTAAATACACACACCTGAGCCCATGGATTTACCTGTTCGCGTACTAGACGACGATGACGACGAGGTCCCCGTATTCCTTTCTCTTCTTCTGCAGAAGCAGCAAGAAAAAGCAAGGGAGTTACCGATACTGCTGCTTGATGTCCTTATGCTGTTTTAATAAAATATAGGCGTCGTCTCCTTTGTTGACGTTTTTATGGGCTAAAACTTACTTCTTCTTTTTTGCAAAAAATGCCAAAAAGTTATACTTATGGATACATACTGCAGAAAAGAAATTATGCGGACTATGGCCGGTAACTACTACCTGACTCTCTGTCGCATGTTTTTTTTTTCTTTTTTGTTTATTATTTTTTTCCCTCGATCGAGAATTTCTACGCGCCGTCGACAGATAACGCGACAGATTAATGTATCCGGGATGCTGAATGCTGATATGATAGTCCGATATTATAGGCTTAAAACAGTATGTGTTATTATGACGTACTACTTGCGTACTTACTTAATTACTTACTTGTAGGAATATAAAAAAAGAAAAGCGTTGGGTTTGTGTTAGAAAAATAGTTCAGCAAATACCTAGGAGTTCCTACCTTATCGATCAATTATTTTCTGTGTTTACCGATCGGTGCTGCCCCCAGTTGTTTTGCACTTGATGTATTCTAATATCTAATGGACAAAAAAATATCAACTCTAAATACAGTACTTAACACGAAAATTGTTTGCAAAAAGAGTGCTCTTTAATCCTTACCACATTATATATTTCTATTGTCATGATAGACTAGTTTAAAGTTAAAATGACGTAAGTATATTCATCCTTTTGTTGGATGGTGCGGAAATGGTGACTTGAGGTATGTAAAATAATACATAATTCGCAATACCTAAGTATATATAAATATGTGCATGAAAACCATTATTAGTAGGTTATTTGTAAAAAACAGTTTTATTAAGTTGATTCTAAACGTAAGTAGCATATATTTATTATTAAATAAAATGCGTTTAGTGATGTGAGCCCTTTTGTTACCTTTTGATTCAATTTGAATGTATTCAAGCTGCAGTTGCTTTAGCATACATTACATCGAGGTATAAGGCGCATACAATTAAGGTGATAAAATATGAGGGGATCAAAGAATATAAAGCTCAATCAATACAGCACGACGTACCACTTGGATCATGCAGTTTGTGATTTTTCTTGTGTTGTCCGCGCACATTGTTACATTGCTATACCTTCTATTAGTCACATTTATAATATATTTATGTACAAGGTAAAATATACAAGTACACTTCATCCTCATTCCATGTATATGTATCGATGAGACATCGACCCTTTTATACAGGTATATTTAAGCTCCTCGTTATCGCACGTGTATCCTCGTATATACAAGTATGTAGGTATGTATGCAAGTACCATTTCAACCCATATATCGGTGCGAATAACGTATCATTATGACGCCTTTTGCACGAAAAACACATTCACACACACACATGTATGTACTTACACCGCTCACGCCCATAAAAGAGCTGTTTATATATATAATTATCGAAGTCCAATCGATGGTATTAATACACGGTTCTTTCTCGCGCTTCTGATGTTATGTGTTCTGTCTTTTTTTTTTTTTTTTTATCTCTTCTCCACCTTCGAGCCATCATCATCGTCTGTCTGTACTTTCCGCGGTGCGGCACATACCTCACCCCTTGGCCCCTCACGAAGGCACTCTCTCGTCGAATGCCCTTGTATTATTTTCATGAAAAATAAAATAACACAAAATTATAGGTTTTTTCCTACCGCGGAGAAGAGTACCGTTGAGTCTTTGCATCAAATAAAACCTGATCGATTCAAATGATGAAAAATTAGGTTCTTAGCGAGCTAAAGATGTAAGCGAACGAATTAAATTTGTCATTGGAATTGAGCTATGGCTCGAGATTTAAACTTATGTCAACAAATTGCCGTCAAAAACCACTAACTCTATACCACTATACCGTGTATAAAAATACCGATCTGACAACATAGCCATCGCCTGTGCAGTGAGGTCATGGTGTCAACATAATCGTAATGTCTAAGCCTTTTACAGTGTGAGATGATAAGCATTAAATATAATAAATAAGTTGGTATAGTTAAAACACCTGTTGAACATGGGTACTCTTGTATACCACACATTAAAGTTTATATCTCTCCTTTTCCGCGTGTAATATCCCGTTGCTCCTGTTGACGCGCCCCATTTGTTTGTACACACGTGTAAGTATGCGAATAAAGAGCGCGATAGCCAATAAATTGCAAAAACGACAGTTTTCCATGTGTACGTATGGATGTGCCGTATAAATACCGAAGACTAAAAAAAAAAAAAAAAAAAATCAAGCTAAATTGGCACTGTATACGCGTGACAGAAAATATACTAGGTACTTCAACACCTTGCAGCATACGTACATGGGTGTACGTATATTTTTATTTATTTTCCACCGACCAACTCTGTATATGCATGTGTACATATGCATATATCACTTGTACAAGCTTTCCAAGGTCTCCGATTTACGACTGACATTCAATTATCAAAACCAACCAGGGGCGCGCATGTTTATTTAGCCTCGTCTCCCCCTCGGCCCGTACCTACTCCCTATACGAAATAATAATAATAATAATGATAATAATGATAATTTGCAGTCATCGATTTCAATTTAAAATCATTCGATCGAACGCGCGTGCGTTACGGCATATATGCACCATACACCCAGTATATATGTATATGGTACTTTCTTGGGTGTCCATAAGTCATCGACGCTGCAGTTTATTAGTTATAGCGCGAAAAGGAGAAAGAAAGAGGTGTGCGCGGTCGGTGCACGCGAGATACAAATCAACGCGCTCGTGTGTGTGCACGGGACGATTAGGGCCCGCGGGAATAAGTCGGAATTTGAAACAAGCCTGGCTCTCGAGAGCTCGAACCGCGTGTGGGTATCGCTCATGGGGAGACGTGCTTATAGTAATGAGGAGTGTCGTTATTTGTCCCCCACGACTCTCGCGAGTATACAACTATACCGGTATGTATACATGTATATATATATATATTACCAAAGAATTTATCTCTCCGGCCGATCTCCTTTTCTCCCTCCCTCCACCCGCGCACATCTCTGATTTCCCATCTGCGCTTCTCGGGTATGTATATATATATATACACCATGCATTCGTTTGACAAACGCTGCCGTGTGGGTTTGTTGTTGTTGTTTTTTTTTTTTCCCACCCATTTCGTTTCGATTTATCGGAAGTCAAAAGCGCCCGTGCTCGGTTCTAGGAGATGAAGAATTTTCTTTTACGTTTATCGGGCGTTTAATCAGCTGCCCGTGGGTGGGTTTTTGTACGTTTATCGGGGACAAACGTTTTTATCGGTATCGCGCGTCGAGCTTTCCAAGCGCGTGTGGCCGAAATAACTCAAAGTATCTCCAAATAATTAATAAGGAAAAAAGAAGGCCGTTGGACAGGAACACCGGGGGGATAAAAATCAATTTCGAGCCGATCGATCGGTCGATTTACGTCGGGGCGCATAATAATGTTTTTGGGGGGAGGGGGGAGGCATTTAGTTTCCCATAAATTCGGCAAAAAGAAGCACGCGCGCGCTCGCCCAAGACGTGTATATACCTACTTATGCAGCCGAACCGGACAGGTATACTTTACGAGGCCCGGAGCCGCATTATAAAATAATTTCGCGCCCGAGAGGGCTACTCTCTCTCTCTCTCTCTTTCTCTGACGTAACGAGAGGCTAATGCCGCGGCCCGAGGAGGCCTCTTCCCCATAAATTAGCCGGGACCCGATTTTACTTTTTTTCTACTTTCTTCGTCCACTATACGCGTCGTTGTACTCATTTCGGCCGCCAAAAGCAAAAGATCCAACCGCCCAAATCGACCCTCCTCCTTTTTACCCCCTTTGAAGCGATCGATCGATCGTCCATCATCGAATTTACGGTGCGCGGCGCGCGAAAAGCAACAGCCCTATTTTTATGGGGAGTTCGCGCGACGCATACAGGATAAGACGATGATGACGGTATTTAGTGAGAGCGTATATATACGTATATGTTGTACACCCCGTGTATACTTATAATAGGTCAGTGCGCGCGCGTATACACACTCGCGATTTATAAGGCTCGCTTGGCCGGTGCCCTGCCGAGACGCCGATTACCGAGGTATAACGAGGGCCTCTTTACCCGACACTTTTTCTTTGCCTCTCTCTCCTCCTTCTCGTGCGTATACATGCATTTTCATATATACACGAAAAGGAATATGCGCCGATTTTACTACACCAAATTACCCATTTTTATTTTTTCCAGCTGTACATTACGCGCTGTAGTGAGTTGGAAAATCGGCGATTTGGTTTTTCGCGTCCGCAACCTTACGAATTAAAATTGTCCATCGCGCTGTCCGTGTAACTAGACAATTTTTGTAGCGTTGTTTGCAACAATGAAGCACAGACGTGCGCGCGTGGAAGCGCCGACAGACGAATAAGCAAAAAACAAGGATACGAGCTTTCGCTGATGCGCTCGGCCGTTCCCATCATCGAGAGGTGTATACTTACGTACACTTAACCACTGGCTTCTTCTCCTTCCTGCACAACCCTCTCTCTCTCTCTCTTCTTTATCTCCCTCGTGTTCCCCCGACCCTAGTCGGGGAAAAGCAATTTTTCGATTCCTACGGACATCACCCGAGAGAGCCTCGTCCTCCGCGCACGTGGTGTAATGCACTTTGCGAAATATTTTCTTAAATTACAAAATCCACCATTACAGACGCGCGCCTTGGATCATCGTTATTTCTTCTGTTATAGCACGTGCTTGAAAATTTAGCACTGGGATTATCATATTCGCACTTTGCGAGAGATCGTTACCCGTGTAATAACATACAATACTTACCTACCCCCCCGAGGTCTTCACATCGGACTCGCGCCTGTAATGACCCACGCGCCGCCGTCACCGACCATGGCTTTATATGGGCTCATGTACCTGTGCACCGTTGTTTCATACTTGTACAGTATGTCGTTACATTGCAGGCGATGAATATTTGTAGTCGTAGTTTTTCAATTTGGCAAGATTATCATTTTTCAGGCCAAACTCCACGTATAAGTATAGTAACGCACATTGTCCCCGCTACAATATATTACTGTTTGATCAAACACCTTTTCCCGATGCTGCCGGCTAGTTGAGTTTTCTACAAATTTAAATTTGTTGTTTTTAAAATAAATAACAACACGCACGGGGTTCTCTTTGGAAAAGCCGAGTATTTTCTTGTCAGCCCGAGAGAACATTGTTTTTTGTTTTTTTTTTTTTTTCCTCCTTTTCCATTCGTTAACTTCGCATGGGTGGTACGAGCTCTCGGGTTTATTATTTGCCGGCAAAGCCTCAAATCTCCCCCAAAAGGAGACGCAGGGAAATACACATTACCTTATGGATATAAAGACGCGCTCGGGTCAGGTGATTAGAGGATATCGA